CATTCTCATGTCTCCCGCATTTTCAGACAATAATTTTGTTTTTATTATTTTCTTTGTTTTAAATATTTGTAGGTAAGATTACAAGTAAAGTAAGTCTCTTGTTTCATACTGTCTGTTGACCTTGCAGTGCTACATAATGGACTGCACCCTACAAAGCAGTTACCTTGGTACAGATGTTAAGCTTTAAGACAGAAAAGGAAAGGATTTCTTCACTTGCAAACTGCTGTATATAACGCTGACTCCATTTTGGATTTTTCCTTCTAATTTGATAAAACCCTGATCTTTAGCAACATGTTCCTCTTTCTTTTTCATGTCTTTCTTTAAGAAATTCGTGTTCAGATGTCTTCCATCTCCCACTTTCTTGTTATGTTTTAATCCAAAATGGTGTCTGATAAATTATAATGGAGCATGAAGTGCTTATGAAGTATGGTCGTTGGACCTCAGAGTTGTGGTTTGATTAAGAGTTAAACACATTTGCCAAGAAGATCGTCACTTGTGTAATGTGTAATGTGTTTAGGTGAAGAGGCAGAGTAAATAATTGATGGATCCGTGTATGGTCAAAAAGAGTCTTCCATTTGTATAGAAGAAATTATGAAGCTAAGAACTCCTGATGGTTAATATAGCATTATTGAGTTAGATCTGCATTAGAAATGAAAGCGCAATTTAATCTCAGATAAATGATTTATTTTTTTGTAATATAAAGTAATGGAATGCTTTGTCAATCGCAAAACTTGGATTTTGCTTCAAAAATTTCAGTGCTCTTTCTGACAAGTTAGTTTGGTGATCTGTTCTTTATTCAGTAAGTCAGTTTCAGAAGTTAAAATTTGCTGTTTTTAATTCAATTTTCAGATTTTTTGTACCTTCTACTTTCATTGATTGCATCTTTTGCACCCAGTACTAGTGATTGATAGCTTATATGTCTACTGTTTAGCTATAGTCTCACTCTTTGCGTTTGAGTGAAGTGGAGCTTACAAGGTAATGCACCATACAGAATGATAAAAGACGTGTTGTGTAAACTGCAACTTAAAAATAAATAAATAAATAAATAATTATAATAAAGCTTATTCCACAATTAAAAATTGGTTCATTGACCTACAACAACAGAAACAGAACTCCTCACTTGAGTGTGGAGTATGATGAGTCAAACCAGAGTTACGATGACATCAAGAAGAGTCATAGAAGACAATGGGGGACCATTTTGACGTCATGCTGACAGTCTGGAAATGTGACCAATGTGACTATCTCCGTAAATAATCAGTTGAAATCGGAACATCATGAATTCAATGCCAGCACTGATAACACTTACCTTGCCGATCATCGGAAAAAGATATTGACAGCTTCACAGTTAAAGCCGAAATGTCACCGACGTGCGACCCTTGAAGTTTTTCATACAGATACTGACACCCGGGAACCGGAAACAACCCGAACTTCCGGGCACTTCCCCACTTTCCCCAAAATGTATGCGACTTTGAACTGCAATACGAATACTAATAATCAGATTCCTTAATAATTTCTCATACTCACCCACCGTCAATGATTTTCATTTTTACACGACTTTGCAAGGTGGCAAGGGGAGGAAAAAGAAAACGCGAGAAACTAGTAATGTCGTCTGCTGCAATGGAGATTTTCGTTTAGTCAAAGCAATTTGACGTTCTTTTCGTCGATTGAAAATGGTTTTGCTGTCTTGGCACGTTCTATTGTTTTATGGTCGGTTCCTTTCTGCGTAAATTTTCTGAGCAAGAGCGCACAGACGTCTTTGAAAGGTGAGTAAGAGGTTACACTCTGTCGGTGTGTAATGTTATCGTTTTTGTCTAGTTATTTAAGTTTTATCTTTGCCCCGTCGATACTCTTGAGTACAATTAATTTTAAGAGTTTTTCTATCACCTCACTGAGTAGTGGCATCGAATGCACGAGTGTGAGTCATTTACTGAAGTGAACCTAACCTAGATCATAATGTTGGTAGATGCTTTCTTCAGTTTCTATAAATTGATCTATTCCTCCTCATGTTGCTCTTTGAGATTATGTTCGATTGAAAGTGTTAATTTTATTCTCTATTAGCTCCTTGTCGTTTCATGGCCTACCATACAGCATTGTCCGATATTCTTCTTAATATCATGTAACAGTTTCTCTTAATGTGTAATCTTTATTTGACCCCTAGCGGATCAATTCCAAAATTAAATTTTCTCCCTCATTACAAAATTTTGAAAACTACAATCATTCAGCAAGCTATTTGTGGGGGAACTGACTTACTTCTGCAATTGACCTTTTGCCTACAATATGGCAACACCACAAGTAGAATTTTGTACTTGAGATAAACCGCATTTTCAGTGTCTGTCAACAAAATTATGCAACACCACGCAATTCCTTGGAAAATTCACCAGGAACAAGTTGTTTGCTTTTTGAAAATTTGTCCAAATTACAATCTTACTTCAGAGATTTGTGTTGTTACCTAATTGTGAGCAAATATATCTACACCTAAAACTAAAATATCCATGACTTATTGACTTTGTATCTGTTACTTAAAAGATCTAACACTGATATTTGAGTGGAGGAATAGATTAATTTTTCTTTTTAGCTTTTCTCTGATGGATTCAAGTCGGACACCACTCTGGCAAACAGATATATCACCCTTTAAAATTTGTTGATCATGATGCGTTGTAAGTTTTTTCATCATTTTTGTCTCTCACATATTTGGTGAACATCTGTTTAAACCCATTAGATATCACCATTTTTATTTAGTTTAGTTCTGTCGTTAGAAGTGTGATAAAATTTAATCTTTTTTCTGCCATGAACATTGATATATGATTCTCACAGTTGATGGCACATCCATGTGTGGCGTGTGGCATCACATGCAATCTCTGTGCCTGTCATCCAACAGTGCAGTTATTGTATTGTGGCCAAAAGAACCATCTCAATTTCACAAGATACCCATCACAAACCTGTGCCATGATCGGCCATGATTTATATTGCGGTGTCGTCATTCAGACAGAAACAATAATAATATTGAACTTCATCTGAGGCAGGCATATAGTGCCGTCATCATTGGTGGGCCACGCCTTGTTTCCCACTATTTAATTGCCGTGTCGCGGCCCAGGCAGGTCCTTAGTGGCGCCACCACCGCGGCGGGTTGGCGCCTCGGGGTGGCGGGCTGCCAAGGAGCGCACGTGAATGGTTATGGACGCGACCAGCAGCAGCAGCAGCAGCAGCAGCAGCGGGTGGAGGGCGCGCGGGGCTGCTGCGGTTGCTAACCGGGAGGGCGGAGCGGGGGCGCAACTCCCTTTATGTAACGGGAACGGGGAAAACCCGCACTGGTGGTGCTGGTGATCGCCGGTGCCAGGTAAACTTTACATCCGATTCTAGTCCCGATCGATGGTCCCGCCCGCCCGCCCCGCCCTGATCCGCACTGGTGGTGCTGGTGATCGCCGCGGTGCCAGGTAAACTTTACTACCGATTCTAGTTCTGATGGTCCCGCGCGTCCAGCCCTG